TGTTCAAATAATCCGAATTATTTTAAGAGAATTTTTCAAGTATAAGGCTTGATCCATAAAAGTCAAATGCCTATTCAATGATCCTTTTTCAAAAAATAAAAATTCAAGATCAATTTGCAAAATGTGACGCAAGCATCGGAAGATAAGCATTGAACCCAAGTCATGATTATGTTGAGAGAACTATAAATGTTTGATTTTGATCAAAACGTGGGAGCATCTCGTGGCCAAATTGAATGGTAATTCGTTAAAGTGAGAATACTTGAGGGCAAGACCAAGAATCTAGTAACTCTAATGGAGTTCAACAACCAGTCAGATGATGATGGTATTACTATAGTAGGTGGAGGAACGGAGGTTGAACAATAAGCTTTTGAGCATAAATCAAAACAGTTAAAGCCATCGAGCCAAGGGAAAAAAGCGAGTCCTAAAAGAGGATAATGACTCGGTCAAAGTTTAGCAAGCAATCAAAGCAATTGGGTATAGCTTCACTAGGGAGGATCACGGCATGTGGTAGGTTATTACCTCGGTTAGTTGGAGAAAGTTCAAAAAAAAAAAAAGAAGAGAGAGACTTGAGTTCCACAATGAATAGTGATCCAAACTTGGAGGCAAGAAAATTTCGACGAGTAGTGCGAGATACAATTCTATACCGACTTCAAGAATGAGGTGCCAACGGGGGAGTTGAATGCCGAAAAGGTGGGCGACCTATGATTCTCTAAGGTAAGGAACTAAACATTTCTACATTTCGGGAATGACGACTAAAAGGAAAAGACGGAGCAATCATTCAAGTTCAAAAAAAAAAAAGGTTTAAGTTTCACACATTTTTTTAAGTAAGGTCGCCTAACAATAGACCATTCTCATATTCGAGCAAGGTTGCCTAATTTAGTCAATCATTTAGGTAGAGGTACCTAACGTGCATTTTCGAGTAAGGTTGCCTAATTTAGTCAATCACTTAGGTAGATTTACCTAACGTGCATTTTTAGGCAAGGATGTCTAATTTGGTCAATTACTTAGGTAGAGTTACCTAACGTACATTTTCGAGCAAGATTGCTTATTTAGTCCATCGTTCGGGTATGGTTACCTAAAGATCATTTTTCGAGTAGAGTTGCCTAATTCAACATTCAAGCAAGGTTGCTTATTTAGTCAATCATTTAGGTAGAATTACATAACGATTATTTTTCATATAGAGTTGCCTAATTCATCATTCAAGCGGGGTTGCCTAATAACCATCTCCTTTTTTGGTAGAGTCTGCCTATTTAGTCAATCATTTAGGTAGAGTTACCTAACGATCTTTTTTAGGCAAAGTTGCTTAATTTTAATTCATCATTTAAGCAAAGATGCTTAATGATTCTCTCATTTTTAGGCAAGCTTGCCTATTTAGTCCGTCATTCGAGCGGGGTTGCCTAATGATCTTCATTATTTTACGCGAGTTGCCTAGCAATCACGAGCATATTTAATTTTCATGATAGGCCGCCCTCTAATTTGGCCATGTACTTGGATGTTTGATTTTCGGGATAGGCCGCCCTTCAATTTGGCCCCACATTGCATGTGTTAGTTTTCGTGGCATGCCGCTCTTCAATTTTGCTAACTCATCATCATTTTACTCTTGATTTTAATCATATATATATAAAACCAAAAAAAATTTTCTTTACAAGCTTATTAAACAAAGTCATTGCAAAACATCTTTTTCATTTGACTTTGCACCATAAACGTTGTAAAGAGGAGGTAATCGTCAAAAAAAAAAAAACATTTCTTTTTTTTTATTATTATTATTTAAAAAAATATATATATATATATATATATACAAAACCAAAAAAATAAATTAAAAAAATAAAAGGAGGGAAACATATTAAAATCTATCCCAATCCTCTTTTTGATTTTTTTTTTCAAATTTCAATTTATCCCAATTGTTTAGCTAATCATGATCACATTTCGGTAATAAAAGTTGAGTTCAAATTGGATCTAAAAAGTTTAAATTTTAAGGTATTTGATTTAAGATGAAACTCAAATTCGAAAGTCTTGGATTTGAGATGAAACTCAACCGCTAGTAGCTATAAAAAGGGTAGCATCTCGAGAAAAAAAGAAAGGAAAAAAAAAGGATGAGGGGTACGAAAATTTTTGGGTTTTGGGGCGGTTGTATTCTTCAACTTTTTTTTTTCAGGGCGGTGTTCTTTAGGCCTTTAAATTCTAAGCAAGTTTGTTCTTCGCTTAGAGTGAAAATCTAGGTAGAAAAGGAAGAAGAAATTCCGGGTTTAAGTGAGAGTAAAAATCGAGAAAAAAAAAAGAATATTGTTTTGAAATTCCGAGTTGTTGCTTTTCGGGAATTTCTAGGGAGTGTTTTTCATGTTCTTCGCAGCCTTCAAGTTTTTGGGTACCAGTTCATCGATCATTGGTCTAGTCACTCGATCGTTTTTGAATTTTCTCGGGTTCGGTTACAATCATTCACCCTCCTCATTTTCTAGTCCTACGCATGTTATAAGACATTCATAAACACCGGACCTAACAACAACAACTCAATCATCGAATCAAAGTCTTCCAATTCCTCGCAAAATCGATGACAACAACAAGGTCCAAAAAGAATTATATTCCATTCCTTTGACTCGATCTCGCTCCCTTCTCCAAAATGAACAACAACAACAACAACACAAGGTCTTGAAAATAACTCTTCACTCCATTGATTTCAATTCGGGTAATCCTAACGTGACTCCTATCCTAATTTTCCTGTTAATTCTTAGGTTTAATTTTTTGTTTTTTGTTTTTTATTTTTTTAATCGGAGCAAGATGAACGAGAGAGAGAGAGATGGTTGAACTAAAGTAGCCCTAATTGAAAAAAAAAAAAAAAGGAAGGAAAAAGAAAAATTAGGGGATTCGGCTCACCGATGGAATGCAGGTAGAGAGGGAGAAGAAAAAAACAGAGAGAGAGAGAGAGGAATCGCATCATGAGAACGGGAGAGAGAGAGAGAGGATCGGAACTTGGTAATGATCTAAAAAAGTGAGAAAATGGGCTTGTTTATGTGAAGCCTAGTCGGACTTAATTAAGGGAGAGGCTGGACTAAATTTAGTCCAACCCGTGCTCCTTTGTGTGGGCGAGTAAAAATTAAAAAAAAGAGAGAAGGCTGAAATCATTCCAGCCTTCTCCCAAAAAGAAAAAAATGAAATAAAAACGAGAGAGACTGGGTCCAGACCTTCTCCCAAAAAGAAAAAAAAATAAAACAAAAACGGGAGAGGTCGGGTCCAGACCTCTCCGAGGAAAATAAAGGTACCAATGTACCATTTCTTTTATTTAATTTTTTTTTCAATTAAAAGGTGTTGACTTTGTTCATTTATCCCTTTCTTTTATTTAATTTTTTTTTAAATTGATTATTCTATTTCTCATGATATTTGAATGTAATAATTTAGAATTGATATTTTTTTTATGTTATTAGATAATAAAAAAATATGAAAAAATCTAAAATTTTGACGAAGTCTCCTACCCGATAGGGTCCGACACCATACAAAAATAAATAAATAAATATATAAAAAAATAAGAAAATTTTCGACAAAGTCTCCTATTTGATAGGGACCGACGTCACCAAACAATTACCTTTTAATTAGGATGTCCTCCGACACACCTATTGTGTCAAAGCTTTTAATGGATTCGATGTTTGAACCGACTCGTCGCTCGATGAAGGGGATCGACGATCACTTCAATACAATGTCATGCTCAAAACTAATTTTTTTTATTTTTTTTATTATTATTTTATTTTATTTTATTTTTTGTTGCTTTAAAAATCGGAGTTTCAAATCAAAAAATAATTTGACATAAATGAAACATTTTAGGAGATAAATTTAGGACTAAACTAGACATGGTACCTTTCTTCGGAAAGGGCACTTTTGGGTGAATAAATATCTTCACAAAAGTGTAACCAACTGCTTACCATAGAATTTCCGGACCGAGTGTAATTTATAGGTTCCTAGTTCCTTAATACTAGGTAGCGACTCCAAACGTATGATCAAACTTTGTAAATAACGATTACTCTTTTTGGAAGTCCCGTTCGAAGTCGAGTAGCGACACACTCATCGACAATTTCTTCTACCTCTAACTTGTGCAAATTGCAATGATTTATGACAAAAGGACCCAATTAACAAATTTCCAATAGATTGGTAATGAAATTGATAAAATTAATTGTTTCGAGATGAAATTGAGGAGAATCGGGTAATACGCTAGGGATGAAATAGAGGTTCCCTTTACTTTTTCATTCCATATTTGGCCAAACATCAATGCTAAAAAATTGTGCCCTTCTTTCAATGACACTTTCTTTACATCGATTCTTACCTTCAGCTTGGAAATTTTATTATTTATATGCAAGTGGAGATTATAAATACTTATGCATAGATTTTAGCAAATCTTGAAACTATATCAAATGTAGGTTTAATGTGCAAAGATTGTTCCACGAAAAAAAAACATGAGAAAATCCCTATGTATCAATATCAAATAATACAAGTCGGTGTAGGTCGATCAAAGAGCTTGTAGCTCGGTAATAATAGTCTCTTATAAAAAATTACGAATTTAAATTTTAATAAACTAATTATATTAGAATCGTTGGTGTCCGAGTTAAAAAAAAAAAAAAAAGAGTCAATGTAGGTCTCTCGTGGCTACTTCTTTACGTATCGGATTTTGAAGAAACTGTCATTGAAACCCAAAGTAGTTCAAGCCAATCATAAATTTGGTAATCAATTTTATACAAGAAATCTCTTTATTAAGCAGAATACAGTTTTTTTTTTAACTCATACGTTCAAAACTCTTAGTAGAACTAGTATGATAGAATTCGAACTTGTGACCTGTTATTGCAAGAGATCACTACAATTAGGCTACAAACTCTTTGATTAACCACTCTTTGATTAACCAGAGTACAGTAGTTACTAGCAGCATAGAAGGAAAACTGATCAATAAGATCACAACAGGAAAAGATTTACAGCTTTGCCAATCATGGACTTGGTGCAGTATTTGTTCCCTAGCGGGATCTTCATTGAGCCTTTAAGAAAGCTATGAGAGGATCGTATGCAACCTGCTTAGCATTTTCACCCGCAACGAAATCTGAATGAGCATAATTTTTAATGAACAGAACCACAAGCTTATCTTTAGCATGATCTTTTAGGCTATCCAGCAAGAGTTTAACATCTTGGACATCGGAAAGAGCATCTGCCCCTCCATGACCAAGGAAGAGGGGAAAATCTTTCGGAATGTCTGCCATGTCATACACTGGTGGCGTAGGCTGCCCGTAGTGTTTCTTGTTTTCATCCCCGTTGCTGTAGTCATACATTGTTATGGTTCCTTCTTTTACCACTGTCCAGAAGGCCATGGAACAAGTTAAAAGAGTATATCTTATTTAATGATTATCCAATTTGTATCAATGTCCAATCTAATTGTTAAAAGAGTATTTAAAATTCTTCTAGACAAGGTCAATCCCTCTATGCACCATCCATCTATTTGAACTGATTAAGCAGTGGTGCTTTGCGTTATGGGAATTTAAATACACTTACTCTGAGCCACATGGAGCAAGTTCTTGGTTGCTGTTGACTGAGGCCCGTGGTCTAATAAAGCACCTAGCCTGGAAGTGTCCAAGCAGCAGTTGGGACCTAAGATACACGTTCTAAGTCAGAAATGAAGATGAACTTATTTGAATGCAGGTTGGTAAGTTGTCAGCACGTAAAATACCTGTGAAAGAGGAGAGCAAGTCGCTGCAGTTTACTCCTGGTGCTTTGCAGATTTGATTAAGAAGTTTTAAAGCAGGAATCCTGTTCCATTGGGGGCCAAGAGGAAACAAATTCAATGGGAAAACAGGCATCACAAGATTGAATAACATATAATATCTTGGTTTTCTTTTTTAGATTTTGATAGGAAATACTGTTTCAGACTGAGAAAACACACATCATGATTTTGATTTTGGCACGTGGCTAAATTTATGCCAGATTGGTGATGCAAATCCTGATGTTATTCCTGGAAGCTCTGTGAGTAAAGATATTTTCGGGGGAGTCGTCTAATAATAAAATTTGAGACTTATCTGTGACTGTAACATATCATTGTTTCGGAAAGCACAGGGATGAATGGTTGAAACTTTACCCTGTTGGCTCAAATTCTGCAAGATTCAACCAGTATGGTGCCTGTCAAAGCAAAAACATAGAATTGCCGTGAAGCAGTCTCATCTGTTTCAATAATCAACATAGAAGGGATTAGTACTCACATTGGCAGTGAAGATGTCAGCAGCAACTTTTGCAACAGGAGAAGTCATCTGACCCAAATAGGCAGTGGGGCAAAATAGAGCCGCTGATCTCAGCATATCCAGTGATTGATCCTTCGAAAGGGCAGCCAGAGCAATAATAGTTCCCTACAAGATAATTCCAAATTTGGCATCTTCAAGGTAAGAAGTTAACAGAACTCCACTCCAGATGTAAATTAATCGGCATAATGTAAGTAAGTACCAGGGAATGGCCAACAAAGTGCACATTCTGTCTAGTTTGATCGTGCACGTACTGGACTACAGCAGGAAGATCATAAGCTGCCAATTCATCCCACGACCAATCCCAGAAATCCTGAAAGCCAAGCCAAAATTGTTATAAAAATCAAAATGGTAACCAGAAGGAGAACATCATTGAGGAAGAGGAAAATAACCGGGTCTTCAGGACTAAGTGATGTGTGCCCCCTGCTAGATTTGGTTCCACGCGTGTTGGCGAGCCATACATCAAACCCATTATCTGCCAAGATGAATGCCAAAGATTTCTCTGGGGATAACAACACCCATATTATTGCATCCTGCACCAATATCGTTACAGGTTATATCTGTTATCCATTTATAAATTCAAGTTTGCCAGAAATCTGTAACAGTTCAGTTATCATGTACCGTTAGTAGCCCATGCTGCAACAGAACTGGTGGCTTCTTTCCTGGAGTCCCACTGGATCGCCCCTTTGGAATTCTCTGTAGACCAAGAATAAATCCATCTTTTGTTGTTACCTATGACAAATCGAAGTTCTGTCAGTTTTAGAAAACTGGGATAAAAATCTAAACTTATAGACTGAACAGCAACAGAAGACAGTACTGTATGTTCTTCACAAGCATAGCCATATTTCTCCACCATTTTCTTGCAAATACCATCATCAGCTGACGGAGGTGATGCCAATTCAGACACGATGCCCTGTCCCGTCAATGAAAATAACTGGCTTCGCATTCCATATACGGACTGGCAGAAAAGAAGTAGAACTATTGAGATAATAGCCTTTTCCATCTTTTCACCTGTATCCTGCTCGAAGTACCTGACATTCCAATCAATTTATAGAAATCTTCCAAAGCATTATCATGGTCAACAGATTGCATCACGGAATCAGATAGGACGGCCTGATATCCTTTTACCAAGTCAAACAGCTGCAAGAACTTCATATTACATCACATCACACCCTAAGATTCCACGTAACAAGAAATTCCAAATGCCTTTTCATTGGTCAAGAACGTAAAACAATCTGTTTACTAAGATGATCATAGTCTGTAACAGCAGTTTCTGGCATCATTAGAGACAAGGTACAGTTATGGCCATAGTTTCAAACGACGGATGTGGCTGTAAAAATGGTTGGAATCATGATTGTGGGTCCGCAGTTTATCACAATAGTAAATAACAGTCACACCAATGGAGATAAGGAATGCATTAACAAACTAACAGTGTTTATTCTAATTCATATAGTTTTAAGAGTTTTACTAATTAAAAAATAATAATAGCATCTTTAATAATTTAATGTTATACAACAATGTTTATTACAAAAAAAATTAATAACACTTTTTATAAGTTTGATATCACACATACAACAACAAAATAAAAAAAATCTAAAAGCTTAATATCCCACAGATAATAATAAAATACAAAGAATCAATATTTTTTTTAATATAATAGCTGTTGTTCATCAATAAACAACAATAACGGTATTATGTAATGTTGTTATAGAGAGTACAATGATATTTCACACTAATAGCATATGACACCATTATTTGTGTGAAATATCATTCTAGTCTTTGTAACAGCATATAACGATAACGAACAAGTTTAAATTCCTTTAGATATTAAGCCATTACGTTAAATACCAGCTTTTATTTGAAACTATCGTTATGGCAGTTGCATAGAAACCTTAGGCCAGCTATTTCCCTCCAAAAATGAGAAAGCAAAGTTATTTGAATCATTCCAGGTCTAAAATTCACTCCAGGAGAAAAAATCAACCATGTCATACTCCGATTATAGTTCTCTTCCAGATCGATTAATCACGTTTTGAATGCAGCCTATGACAAATATCAATGTTCTTGGCAATTCAAAATACTCGCCTAACTAGAACTATTTTTTTGGCTTTTTTGAGCAGGAGATCCATGCTCTGCATGAAGCAGGGACAGTAGATGGTACATAGAAACCAGAAATCAAGTAAGCAGAGAGATATAAGAAAACTCTGTAGTCACCAAGTGCCTTGATGATAGAAAAGCATTTCATAGGAGAAGGCTTGCCATAGATACAAGCAGCAAAATTAAGGTTGTTTGTTAGCATTAATATCTTTTATGATTAAACTGTCCGAATGAAATTGTATTGAGGAGGCAAGGGTATCTGAGAAAATACTAAGTACACAGCAGCAAAATGACAAACAATTTGTTCATTACTTCCCCAAAAAACTAGAACAAAGAACAATTTTAAATGTTAAATGAGCCTCCAACTCTACCAATATTTCTTTTTTCTCTTCTATCGGGATATCTAATCAAAAGAAGTAGGGTAACTGCTGTCACACTTAACAAGACTGCTGGAGTTCCCCTGGATTACGTGTGGTAGGGCCATCCTTCAGCATCTTTTCAGATGTTTTAGCTGCATTTTCATGAGCTCTGGATCTTGCTAATCTTTTTTTGAGAAATTGGAATTGCCATCCTCTAGGTTTTATTTGTCGTAGCAGCTGCCATCTTTTAGGTTTTATCTGCCCTGACAATTTCATCTGCTCCTTCCTGAACTTCTTACTTGCATACCACCTTCCACCTCGCCAACCAAGGCCATAGCTGCAATTCAGTAAACAAGGTAAGTAAACAAGGTAAAGAAACGAGTAAGAAATTCGAATTAAGTTCTTTCAATTGAAGACTAAAAAGTAAAATAGTCTAATATCACATGAAAAACATTACTTAAGCAAATAACTATTCTAATATCTTAATTTTAACCAAACCAAAACACAGCGCATAAAGCCATCATTAATTCTATATAAAATAAAACGCAGGCCATCAAGGAAGATCTTCATTGGGAGCAATAAATCCATATATTTTGTTCAATCCTTGGCAATTATGTCAATATGTCCATTCTCTTTACCTCACACCCAGATTCTTACAGCTTTGCTCATTACTCATTACTCATTACTAATAATCCTTTCACTAGAATAACATTTCACACTTATTTCCATCGGTCTCATTGCAAATGGAAGGACAGTCTTCCAAAACTTTTCTTCTTCCTTCATCCAGCCCTAATTTAGTGCTTGCCCCTGACTTCTTATAAATAAGGAATATTTTCTCCATTTTAATGGCTTTGTCCAACCATCTCACAGTCCTTATTTTATGCCATATTCATTACTGAACGTATTTTGTTAATAGTGTAAACTTTTATGCTATAATTGTTTTCTCGTACTCTATCTAATTTGACCAAAACATTTTCTAACCTCTGTATCCTCCATTTTTTAGAATCTAAGAGGCTCTTATTTGTACAGAGGAAGAATTTATCAAGGTCTGATGTTAGAGAGCTACAATAAGCCACCAAGCCCAGGCATTAGTACTCTCTAACAGGGTCAACCACATAGCATTTATACATTTATTTATATCTATAAAAAAAATTATTATACTTTTCATGGAGAGGGGTGGAGAGGCTTGGTGACTTTCCACAATATGCATTTTCAAAAGCATATCCCTTCTTGTCCTTCATCACCAGGTTTATATTTCCTCAGCATCGTACGATCAAGCACATCCAGAAAGCCAACCGACAACTAAGCTTCAATTGATTGAATGAAGCAAACTCCTATATCGTGACTTCCAGATATTTTTAATTTGATATAGCTTGGAAATAAAGCCATGTCAAAATGAGCAAGCACACCCACTAAGAAAAACAGAAACACTTTCTACCATTGCTTTCAAAATGGTAAATGCAAACATGGATAAAATTGCTAACATGTGACATGCAAAACGGAAAGTGATTTCCTAAGTTTAAGGAAGGGAAAAACTTGCCTCTGTCAAAGCCTTATGTTTTCCCTTACCTGGAAAACACTTTCTGTTGACTTAGTTTCAACGAAGTCACCGCACACAGGAAAGTGTGGAAAGTGTTTTCCAGGGAACAAATGGGGAACAAGTTTGCTTTTGTCAGAACCCAACTACAACAGCCATAACTTATCCAAGTTCAAGATAATATTATGATTTTCCTGATATTGATTTCCTCAGGAGGTGGGAAAACTAATAGCATTTAGTGGAAATTTGGCCAGATATTAGATAGGTAATGACAGAGTGCTGAACATATAATGATTGCTTAAAGTACTGAATTTTATTTTAGCATGTTTTCCCCCCAAATTACCATGATGTTCCTATCCACAAGAAGAAGATGCAAACCACTTAGTAAGCTCCCATCTCATTTGGATTGCATAAAACCACCATGAACGTACAGAATTCACATTGCTTCAGAAATTGATTTAAGTATGCATGAGATATTTTCTCATGATTAGTTTTCAATATTTTATCATATTTAATTTCCCTGGTGATCCTTCAACCAACTTTCCATCATCCTTCCCCAGTTGAGAAGAATGCATTATCATTATGTGCATTTTTTTCACAATATGAAGCATGGCTAAGCAAGAGACCAAATGACAAGGTGCTTTGACCATTATGGAATAGGGAATGTTGTGGATAACCCTAAACTAGTGAGAAAACAGCAACAATGATACAAGGAACAAAGAAAAAGTGCTTAGGAACAAACCCAATGACAAATGTTGTCCCAGCCGTAGCAATGCAGGCAGCAACACTGGAACGTTCTGGATCAACAAGCTTTTTAAATTCAGCATGTTCAAGATGATAGTTGTTCTTCATCTGCCAAAAAAATATATATATTAGCAAAGTACTGAATAGCAAACAGCAAAGACATTGAAAAGGACCCTGTGAAGGGAGGTCGAAAGCAAGCAGGTTAGGAAAAAGAATATGTACATGAAAGAAAATGAACAGCCTGTGCTAACTTAAAAAACAAAAACTTAGGGAGTAAACAAAGAGGCTGGCACAGAAGCGTTCCTGCATATCACAAGTGGTCATGTAAATTTACATTGAATCAGACATGACACCAGATGAAAGAAGACGAATCAAGGTAGATCTAAGATGGAATTCAAGAAGGGCCTCTCAATAGCAGGAATTAAGATTCATTGAGTTGATCTAAGTTGGGTTTACCAGTCATGACCATAAGATATTCTTCTGTGAAATCAGTATACATTTTGTCAGGATAGACGAAAAAGATATTAGCAGCAACAACTATTTATTATCTTACATTATGTAACAGAGACTCACAGCATTTTCAATTGCTTCAAGCCTTTGATCAACTTTTGAATCACGGAGATGCCGTAAAGAATACCCTGCAGATCATTTGAACTAATCAGACACTCGAGAGTGAGAAGGAAAAATATTCAGCACCAATAAATTGGAAGCAAAAACTTTTATCTTGACAAAAGAATAAGTATGCACTGACCAAAATGTGTTGATCATGATTGATATATACGAGCAACAATTCTTTCTTTTGTTACGAAACAGCCATAGCTATATAGATTAATTACAGACCCCTCCATCAGAATTTATTCAATTTTCTATACGATGCCCAGCACTAACTATTTAATGTAACTTTTCAGAATATTTGGCCAAGTTAATGGATGGACCATGAATATCAGTTCATAAACTTAAACGACGTTCAGCAACTGAAAGTGCAGCAAGAAGCTTAGATAAGGCATTCAAATAGAAAGTTGAGATCCCTAAATATCCCTTCAGATGAAACATAAAACCCACCAAGCACTGAAGAAAGGGGAAGATAAATAGAAACTAAACAAAAATTATTTGAAAACAAAAACTCACCAGCCCAAGCTGTAGCAACTGATGCTACAGATGTTCCAATAGTAAATACCACCTTATGCCTCTCAAATGTATCCTAACACATAGAAGAAACACGAAATATAAGATACAAGCAGGGTCCAAAACCCCGAAAAAACCAAACAAAAACAAGGCACTTTTGGAACTAAATGAGGGAACCCATCAAAATCAAGCGATGAAAAAGAGAAAAAAGAAAAACCCATTAAAGATAAGAGATGCCCATTTGATGAAAATTCAAGTTTACATATAACACAGTAGTAAATGAAAAAGAAAGAAAAGAATTTTATAGGAATACCTTGGTAGAGAAATAAGTATCCTGCATAGCAGTCCATGAATTAAGAGCTTTCCTCTTCAAATGGGAACCAAAAAGCAAGCCCCCACTACTTCTTAATTGCTGCATCCTGCATGACTTCGGGAAGCCGGACTGCAAGTTTCTGCGGGGAAAAAGCCGAGTCCCGCTTTTTCTTGCCCTTTGTTTTTTTTTTTTTTCCTTCCCGGAAATCGAGGTTTTTCGAGATGTCCAGAACTTGACAAATAAGTAAAGTAGGGGCAAAATGTCAAAAAAGAGTCAACTTGACAATTATTTTTTTTATTTTAATGATGAAACTAATTAATTTGTCCTGTGGTTTCAAAAATATATATTTATTTCATATATCATAAGATCTACTTATAATTAGAATTTCGCCCTTTATTAAGTCCTTGTTATAATTATCTAATTTCTTTTGCTTTTATTTTTAGAGAATAGAAGAAAGAAAAGAGAAATATATAATATTAGAATGTTTAATTAGGAGGGGAAAACAAAGCATTTTTTGAATGAAAAATTACTAAATCAAGGATGGTCAATGTTGGTCAAAGAATCATTGAATTGTTTTTTATATTATAAAAAGATTGATTAATTAATGTGGATAAACTATAAAAATTAAGTTTATTTCAATATTAACTAAATAGGCCAAAAGTGACTAAAGAAAAAAAAAAAAAAGCACTAGCTTTGACGTCTTATTAATTAATTTTCTTTTTCTTAATAGAGTAGATTCTTTTTTTCTAAAATGCCAATTAAATTTTATTCTCTAATCATGTTATCTTACACATTTTTCAGAAAACTTACAAAAAACAGAATAAATCTTATGCCCGTTATATGGTGATGGCTACTTAGTGCCTTGTATTTAAATTACAAAAGCAATGCCCTGGTAAAAAGGAATGGTGAACAAGATGTTTGAAAGACAGGCTTTTATCAATGCAGAACCAATTAAAATCCATTGGATTCAGTTCTTTTAACATAAACCGTTGGATCTAAATTTAATGGGCAACTTTGCTAACGGCTATGCATGTGGTCCACTTCAACTGAATTTTTGGCCCTTCTTCTTCCTCCACTTTAATTACCACTGCATAATCCAACCGAGTAAATTATAAATTAGTCCCTGTCATAATTAATTGGATTTTTGAAAGAAATAATGAAAATTTGTTATGAAACAATGAATGTCTATCATCATGTTCATCCACTTTTCATATCCCACTACTCATGATTCTTAATATGATTTAATTCATCATTAAATATGAGAAATCGAAAGGGTGATGCAATTGATTATTCATAGTCATTTCCAATTCTCTCCTCAATTTTGAAGCTTATAAATAGGTTTGATTGTTCATTAGTTGGTGTATAAGTTTCCTATAGAGAATAAGAGAAACTTTGAAGTTCTTATCACTTAAATTCACATTATAGTGATTTCATTTTCTTGTCATCCTTTTCTTCAATTCTCCAATTATTTTTATTTATTTTATAACACGTTATCAACACGAAGCTCTAACCAATCGAGACAATACACCATGAGGTATGTATTTATCAAAAGATTTAATCAATTGTTTCAATAATTGGATTTCTTCTACACAAGTGCTCTACCAAAAGATCTAAATTATTTAAATCATTAAGAGGTATGTATCCGATTTGTTCATATACTTTAAATCTATTGATACATGAAATATATATATGAAAAACTTATATGATCTACTAATGATCTAATATATGTTATTTGAAAAGCTTTAATTTTATTATTATATTTTTTCTTATTTTCTAATATTATTATTATATATCATAGAGTTTTTATCATATCAAACCTCATAAACTTGATTTGGTGACTCTTGATATTTTGAATAAAAATTATTGATTATAAGTGCTTGATTTTGAAAAAAATATTATGTGCTTTTTATGTCTTGGATATACTCCTGCAGTAGCATATCGAGAAAAAGAGTTTAAGAAATATTTTGGATCAATTTTATCCTTGTTAGTGGCTAAATAAAATGAAAAAAAAATAAATCTCATCCAATTGGGTCTTCTCCATTCCCCGAAGTGAATATGATAATTTATAATAATTTTAGACATGGATGAAGATGTGGTCATAGCCATGAATATGGTCGAAATAATTATGATTATAATCGTAATGACCATAATATTACATCTCACTACCGAAAGTGGATAACTATGAAAAAAAATAGATAAAGTCGGTATTCGAAAAATAAATATTATAGATGCGGAATGAATGAATATTGATCGTGTACATGTCGTATACCAAAGCATCTCATTGAGGCTTGTCAAGCCTTATTGAAAAGTAAAGAGTTAAATATGAAGGCCACTTTTATATATTAAAGTAATAGTAATTGAAATTAATTACTTCTTAGTTTTTCTATTTATAAATAAAATATTTTATATTTCTTATAATTTATGTCGTATATTAATGGTTACAAATTTATTTTACTATTTATTTATTTGTTTGTGTTTATGAGGAATATATTGATTTATTTAATTATTTATTTTATGTTAATATTATATATGATAATATCAATCTAATAGAAAGCTCTAGAAGAGCGATTATATTATTATCTAAAGAGATAGATTTTGAAGGCTCTAGAAGAGCGATTATATCATGACTTGAAGAGATAAATTTTTGAACCTCTAGAAGAGTGAATAAATTATTACTTAAAGAGAAAATTTTTAAAGACTCTAGAAGAGTCGATATATTATTATTTGAAGTGACTAATTTAAAGGCTCCAGAAGAGCAAATATGTTATTATCCGAAAGGATAAATTTATTATGAATGATGTACTATTCTCTTCGAAGTCTCATAGAAATTTGTTGAGTTTCAAAGATATTCATCTGAATTGATATCATATCAAGATAGCAAATACGAATTCTTATATGTTATAATCATTATATCGGGTAGAAAATATCTATCAAAAAAATTTATCCGTTTTCTCTTCTAGTCTTTATTACAAACATTAAAATGATTGAAACAAATATTATAGTAAATCGAAGTTTACTAATTCAAATACTTTTACTATGTGACATTACCAGTTGTGTTATCTTAGGTCTTTCATGATGCGAAAAAATTATTAAAAAAATTATATGAATATCTATTGAAGAGCCAGAAGATTCTTCAATTTAATGAACTTTCATGTTCTGCATGTTGTCAAGGTAAATTGATGATTAAGCCATCATCAAGTAAAATTAAGATTGAATCTCCAGTATTTTAGAATATATTCAAGGTGATATATGTGGATCAATTCATCCACCATGTGGATAATTTAAATATTTTACGATGTTGATAAATACATCCACAAGATGATCACATATATACTTATTATCTACTCGAAACCCGACGTTTTCTAGATTGCTAGCAAATAATTTGTTTTCGAGCATAATTTTCAAATTATGCCATTAAAACAAGTCACCTTGATAATGCTCGATGAATTTATTTCTCAAGCATTAAATTATTATTGATTGGCTATTAAAATAAAGGTTGAACATCCTATTACTCATGTTCATACTAAAAAAGGTTTAGTAAAATCATTTATCAAAAGGCTCCAATTGACGACTAAACCATTATTTAAAAATAAAACTCCCTATTTATCTTTGGGGATATGCGATCTTACATGTAGTAACATTTATTCGCATATGACCCATAAGTTATCAAAAATTCTCTCTTCTTCGAGTTGATTTATGGTCATGAGTCAAATATTTCTTATTTAAGAATTTTTGGCATTGCGAGTGTATATCCTCGGTGCTCCTTCATCCTCGGTGCTCCTTCATAAGGAAATAAAATGAGCACTTAAAGGAGATTGAGAATATATATTAGATTTAAATCTTTTTTTATAATTAAATATCTTGAATCATGAATAAATGATATTTTTACAGCTTGATTTATCGACTGTCATTTTCATGAAATAGTTTTTTCAACATTAAGAGGAGAGAATAAATAAAATAAGTAGTTAGAAATGTTGAAAGAAAAAAGATTACATGGAGTACTCTATCTTATATCACCTTGATTCTTATCGAAGATAATGTGAACTAGAAGTTCAAAAGATAATTCATTTACCGAGTATTAAAACCAACTGCCGGATGCATTCTCGGATCTTAAATGAGTAACTAAAATGCATGTCGCTATTGAGAATGCTCCTATTAGAATTAATGTCCCGGAAGGATAATATAACCCACGTAAAAACCCTTATTCGTAACGCGACATGTATTAGAATAATTCTATATATATATGTATATTAAGAGTAAGTATAATTCTTATTTCATCATGAGAAATTAATGCTTGAAATATGTGATTGATGTTAAATTAAAGTTATTGCTTAAGATTAATAGTTTAATTATTAAAGAAATCAAATATGTAAAATCGGTGTTTTAAGGACTATATTCTGCCTGAGTTTTGTGTGAATTATTTGAGAACTTTAGGGTAATTTTTGGGTCATGCTTAAAGAATGAAAATTGTTCATCTATGTGTTAAATAGGCATGTATAAAATTTTATAATATTTAGACCTATAGATTAAGAGTTATACCAATTATAGTGAGGGTTGTTTCGAAATGCATTCTGCTAGAATTTTGGGAGAAGAATCGCCTGAATCTTGTGAGATTTATTTGATGATTTTAGATTGATTTTTGAGCAAAACTTAAAGCATAAAAGTTGTTTTTATATGTGTGTAATAGCTCTCTATAAAATTTCATAATTTTTGGATAGATATAGAAATAGTTATGCACATTTTAGTATAGATGGGTTAGAAGGTAACACTGCTGAAATTTTAGGGAAAAAGAAATTCTGAATTTTAAAAATGAAAATTTTCGAATTTTTTATGAAAGAAATTATGTCTAATTACATGAACCCAGCTTATTAATGTGTTTATTTAGCCTAATTTTTCTTTAGCCACTTAAGCACTTGAATTAAATGTTTGGAAGCCAAATCATCACCTTTGACTTCCAAAACATGACAGCTTTGCCTTCCAAGCTTCCTCCACTTTACATTTGACCTAGTTAAATTTTAACACTTATGATATAAATAAATGAGAGGATAAAAGGTGAGTATATAAGGGAAAGAGAGGGTTAAATGGCTGCTATTTTTAGGCCAAAA